TACTCCCACAGCAGGGCACTCCAACATGTTGTGCCCACTCTCATTTCCCAGGCCCTCCCTGAAGAAGAAGCCTGAAAAAGGGCTGCTAGGTTACTGGCTAATGTCAAGAAGCTAAGAACACTTATACCTGAGCTAAAAAGAGGGTGAGTGAAGAGGAAAGTTTTTCCTGAGGCCCAGGGCTGGATGTGTAGGCTACCTTTCAGCCCCAGGGATGGCCTGGCCCATCTTAGGTGCTGGGAAGTTGCCCAAGAAGACTCGAGGGCCTCACTAGCTTTACTTTCTGTAGGATGATCCTGTCCCAAGAAGCTGTTTTTCTTTGTGAAACACTTTCCTGGTGTCTGCTACAGGACTCAGTTCAGTCTGCAAGGCATTGTGTGACATGGGGCCTCTAAGAATGGCCCCAGTCTCTGCCCACTGTAGCTCAGTCTGGAAGCAGCAATGCTACATGTATAGCAAAAGCTTAACAGAGACATAGGTGCTCCAAGTGAGGCATGAGGAGGAAGGGGGAACCGAGGGAGCTTCCCAGCTGGGCTTTACGTCATGGGCAAGGATTGGAACTGCAGAGATAGGAGGGAAGGACATTTCAGTTGTATGGAATAGTGATAAATCCATGAGGGCAGAAAGGCCAGAGATTGGTTCAAACCCAGTGGTTCAGTGAAGCTGGGAGCAGAGTATATGAAAGGAAGGGAGACATGCAACTGTGGAGGAAAGGAAAGGCTAGAGCAAGCCAGGCTGAGAATTTGGATTTTATTTGAAACCAGTGGAAAACCATTCAACATCATCTTGTTTACCCATGAAAACAAAAACACATCCCAATTATTTAATATCCCCTATGGAACATTTAATTGGGTCTTTGCTATAAACCAGAGTTTTCATTAAGGTTGTTGTAGTCCATTTTGAGAGATGGGGATGGACTTTGCTGTGGCTTTTCCTAAGGCTGGAGATATGTTCCCATCCTGGAGGAACAACATCCTCCTCTCACCCCAATAACAGAAGCATCAGTTCTGAGCTGTGTCCACCTTACTCCCTTCACCTCTGCCTAACCTTTCTCCCTCAACATTTCCTTCCCAGTGATTGTGGCAGAGGAGAACATTCACACCCCAAAATATTCCAAGTCCTTTACTTTCATTGTCTTCAGAATACTTGAGACATTCAAGATACCGTAGCGGGCATTCGCTTTATGGTGTCCTGCAAATGTAGTCAAGGAAGAACATAGACTGGGGCTGACAGTTTTAATAACACTCTTCCTTCTTTATTTTCAAAGGCATTTGGGAATAGTAACATAAATTTTTGAGGCCATAGAAAACACATGACTATTCAGCTATTAAGTCTGTGCAAGAAATATTCTATTGCATCCAGACTGAGTCTTGCTCAGTGACAAGGCTGTGCTGCTGCCACCTGGGAACGAGTTGATGTGGGTCACAGGGCTGTGTCTGGAAGCTCTGCCGTGTGTGGCAGCCAAGAAACCTCTATCATGTTTTTCCAACTTCCTCCACCCCATCAACAGAGAAATGCAACTCCTATGCTTTCCCAGTCAGGGAAAGTGAATTGGGCTTCATGCTAGAGGGGTAGACAAGTCTACACTGAACCACCATCACATCTTGTGGGGTAATGGTAACAGGATTATGGCCTCAGCCAGGGGCCACCTCCCTGATCTCATTACTGGGAGCTGCCTGCTTTGAATATTGGACTCCTGGTGGCTGTGTTGAGGGAAGAAAAGCAAAGAACTGTGGCTCTTGGATCTACTGTATGGGCCCACTCCTGGTATAGGAACCCTGTGTCTACAAGATTGCCAAGCCCTGACCCCTCTGTGCCTCTACCTTCACCCTCAAGGGGGAAGCTGGTGTAGGCCAAACATCAGCGGTGAGGGAGAAGGTCACAGCTGTCCCAGAAAGGGCTCACAGCAAGGCCAGGCAACTCTTGAACAGGCAGCACTTGTGTCCCAAGCCAGGTGGCCAGTCATTGAGTAGCATGTGGGCCACTGTGCTCAGGGTCTGGGGTGGAATGCCCCTGCCTCTTCCAGGTTACCCAGGAAGGAGAGGTAAGCACTGAGGCTGGGGCATTGGAGGTGGTGTCCTGGGAGCAAGGAAAGCTTTGCCTTTGGATTCTCTCTCCAAACCCCTTCCCCAGTATCTTCCTGCTCACAGACTGCTGGAGGAGTAGCTCATCTCTCTACTCTCTCCCACCCCAAGGAGAGCCCAGAGGTAAAGGTTGCTTGTGTGAGTTGTACACTGTGTGTGTGCAGTATGTAGGGCCAGGAAGGAGGATGATAGAATATACTTTCCATGAGTAGTTCCAGTGGGGTCCTTTTGAAGTGTACCCTGGTGAAACATTTTGGTATGGACTTCAATGTACCCAGAGCCTCCTGGAGCAGTTTCCCACAGATCACGAGGACAGCCATAGCCATTTCTAGGTTGAGCTGTGTCCTGGAAGCTTGTCCAACTCAGTTTTCTCCCAGCAAGGATTGAACCCAGAACTGCCTGAGAGGCTTCAGAGAACACACTCACCATGGTTTGACATCAGTTATACACAAAACAAACTCATAACTGGATAATCCTGTGTGTGAGCGCTGCTCCTGGCCATTGGTCCCTACACTCCCAACTTCCCCCTATTATAAGATGGGGTGTCCTTGCAGTTACTCCTGTGGGATCCCTGTGAAGAAAAAGGTCCAGGGAGGTGGCCCTTTTGACCTCCTGGCAACCTGACTAGGGCTGACCTGAGCAGTGGATTGAGGCAGAGGTCGAGGTGACTTCCCAGTGCAAGCACCTTGTCTGAAATCTAGGCAGTACTAAAGCCAGCATGAATTGGGCCATATTAGACAAATCCTGGCCTGGGTGTACTCTAAATATTGAATTCAAACAATTGCCATAATGGAATGGCTCCAGTCTAGTCAGATTTTACAGTGCCTTTCTTGAAGATTCTTTCAGCATTATCAATCCATTTAGCTGCATCTGCTCTGAGAGCTGGGTAAAAAAGACATTATCTCCTCCCTTCCTTTTTTATTATGGAGAAACTGAGGCCCAAAGAACTTAAGGGAAAACATGGCTTCAGCTGCCTCTCTTCTAAGAGTGAACCACTCTAAGGTCTGACTGACCATCTCTCCCTTGCCATGTAAAAGGAGAAACAGGACAGGGAAAAATCTTTTTCCTGTTCAAAACACCAGGTCTGGCTCTGGGAACTACTGATGCTGCTCAGTAAACCTCTGATCTCGGCTGCCCCCATGGTTGGAATGTACTGGTCAACTGAGTAGCTATAAGGAGCTTGTACACCCTAATGCCCCATCTATGAGGCAGCCCTTGACCTAAGCCTGGGCCACTCTGCATACCAGTGTAGCAGTACCTTTTGCTCCCTTACAATTTCTTCTCACTCTCATACATATGTAGTCCCTCTTGTACTCTCTGGCAGGAATGTACAATAGTCCCATGTACTCCCAAGAGAAGGTGGCAGGCAACTCATCAGCCTATCTCCCAACTGGTCTCTCAAGAAAGGCAGCTGCCAATACAGGAGGCAACAGAGTCCCTGCCAATGGCCTAGAATGCCAGTCACTTCCAACTCTTCCTATCCAAAGTCTAAGAGGGTATCAAGAATGCCCCTGACCTCTGCTCCTACCTCTGCTGGGCACTCCAAGAAACCCGAATCTTGGAAATGTTCTGCATCTGCTGAACACAATTGGAGATATACCTGTAAGTGCCAAATTGTGATTTTGACAAGTGATGGGGCCTTCAGCTGCTCCTTCCCAATGGCTACAAAGAGACAACCCTGAAAGTAAACAGCGGTCAGCTCCAGTTGCCCTAACAAAATACCAGACTTTGTCACAATTCTGGAAGCTGGGAGTCCAAGATCAAGGTGGCAGCAAGGTAGGTTTTATTGAGACCTATTATTTTGGCTTGTAAATGGCCACCATATTATAGGGTGTTCACATGGACCTCCTCTTTGTGCACACAATGTGAGAGAGGGAGCAAGTTCTGTGTCTCTTCTAACCCCTTCATGAGGACCTCACTCTCATCTAAGCCTAAGCACCTCCCAAAGACCCCACCTCCAAATACCATCATATTGTGGGTAGGGCTTTGACATGAATTAGGGGGGAGAGGAGAATTCAGTCCATAGCACCCTGGTAGAAATCAGGCTGGCTGAGGAAAGTCAAGCTCCTCCTGTGGGTGTGAGAACTCATGTGCCACCTTTAACTTGTCACTAGAGACTGGAAGTTTCCTTTGCCTTCATCCAGCAATGGGTCATTACCTTACTACTGATATTAAAGACACACAATGACTCTGGTAAAGTTATCCAAGCCCTCCCCACCATGTGGACAGCTGGAAAAATGCTCTCTTTGGTGCTTGACCAGGGAGCACATCACTTAATCACTTTTTTTCCAGGGAGTACACCCTCCCCCAGAAAGGGCTATCCCAGGTGAAAAGGAACCTGCATGCAAAGTGAATGGGCACCTTGCCCTTTATATAGTCTCTGAGGTGCTTAGTAAGGCATGAATACAATCTACACACTGGCTAGCCCCTAGGCCAACTATTGTGGGCCTAGTGAGCCTGTGGCTGCCCTTGTGTCAATGAATGAATCAAACAGGCTTCTGACAGCCACACAGGGGGCCTGAGCACACAGCCACTTGGGAAAGTAGGAACCAATGGCCTCTACAAGTGTAGTAGGGAACTCAGGTGTGAACGAGAAGCTGAGGGGAGCTTGGTCACATACAAGGAACACAACTCCAAGAAGAGCCCCTTACTCAGGAACTTAGCACCAGTCAGCTAAGTCAATATAATTTCTAAGTTCCATAAACCAATCATAGAAAAATAAAAAACAAAATCAGTCATAAATGCAAAAACAAACTTTATTAAACTGTGAAACTGATTATTTTAGGTCAGAGCCCCTCACAATTGGAATGCTATTCCCTGTGGGTTTCCTGGTCCCAGTAACACTATAGGGAGCATTCGGGGCTTGCCAGGGTCTCAGAATTACTGCAGCTTAAAGACAAAACAAGCTTCTTACTAGATTGCAATCTATTCTAGAAATACTTCTTGACAGAAAAAAAGGCATTCTAACATGAGCACACTACAGCCTGCCCAGTAGAAGAGCTGTGTGCAAAGTTGGACAGGATATATTGGGACAGTGGTCTCCTGCCATGGCCTAGCTGCTGTCACATACTAGCACACTAAGGATAATACTGCAGCATAACTTAAAAGAAATAGGTTGTGTTCAACTAACAATTACAAAAACAGCTTTATGGGAAAGAAAAGTAAGTATAAGCCCAAGGGACTCTAGGAGCCCTTCTCAAGGCTTCTCATGAGAATACTGCTGGTTCAACTACTCATGTGCTTCAGACTGGTCTGAAGATAAGTAAGAGATGATTTTTTCTGATGGATCTTCAGCAGTGTCCTGGGAAGCCTGTGGATTTGAAGTTTCCTGTTTTTCTTCCCCAGGAGTTAGTTCCTGCTGGGGAAAAAAGGGGAACAATGTGAAGTCCTTTGCTAAAAGTTCCTGTGCCCAATTTATAACAGTGGGAGGACCCCTTGGTTTAAGTCAGCAAGGTACAGAAAAGTACCACTTTGGAATACAAGCCTGCAAGGTGCTGGTAGAAGGTAGAGCTGGAGAAATGGAGTTCCTTCCCACTCCCCTTTCCCAACAGCATTTTGACTTAAAGACCAGCAGAAGCAGGCTTGGGCTCTCCCAAACTTGTCTTAATGCCTAATACTACTGAGTCCCATATAGGCCCTCCCCGGCCCAGTTCCTCTGCCAGCCATGGCTAGTGAAAACCTTAAATGGTCTCTCCCTGCCCCTACCCTTGGACCTTCCCACTACTTGGTTTGGACTTGGTTAGACTTATTGGCGGTTACCTGGCCTACTTCCACGGGGTGACACGAATAGTAATGAGTCACTCTGGGCTGTAGAGAAAGGGTAAAGGAGGAACAAACACAAAAATAGTATTACAATGAGTGGACTGTAGGAGTCTTTTCTGTTGAAGAAAGAGACTTGGGCTGGGCTTTAAAAGTAATGCAAGATTTCAACAAGTGGAATGCAACAAGGTAGAGAAGAAGACAGAGGAAACAGAAGGAGAATAGCTGAAAATGGGCAGAGAGCCGGAGGTATCTGGGAACCCGGTGAGAGGGAGGGCCCAGAGGGCAGTAGAGATGAGCCAGGGCAGGGTGTGGAGAATCCTTAAGTCTTATAAACAGGGAGGATCCTACCCAGTCCAGCCCTTGGCAGTTCCACTGTACTCTCCTATCCGCACACCCTTCCAGGGTCCTCCCTTCTCCATTTCCCTGGATTACGTGCTCACTTTCTCTTAGCTCTGCCTCTCAGGGTCCATCCAGAAGGGAAGTACCTTGAGAGTGGGCATGAAGAAAGGTCTAACCAGAGCCTGGCTTGGTAACCAAATCAGAGTCCATTGACCATCTGATCTCTTTGTGTGAGCAGTACCTCTAACTGATCAACTTTCTAGACACGTGACAGCTCATTTGCTCAGGGTGTGCATATGAAATTAACACACCTTTAGCCATTTAAAATATCCAAACTCTTTCATTTTGCCTTAGCTTAGTGTTTTGTTGTTGTTGTTAGATTTTTTAAAAGGTTAAGCTCTATTAAGATTTCTAAACCCAGAATCAAAACACCTTTGTAAGTGCTGATCATTATATTGAGAGTCTGTGGTCCCCAAGGGGCTTCTGAGACTATACTTGGGAGCAAAGCCTGCTGTGTGACTACCATCTGGACCAACTCCCACCACTTCCCTGGAAACATGGCATGCAGATGCCCTGAGGTGGGGTTTGCCCTGTCAAGTACTGGGCACCCCACTGACATATACAAGCACACTCAACAGAAGGACCCTTGGTTTATTTTCACTATGAGGAAACACCCATTCTAGGTTCTGGGTTTTGTAGCAGAATTAAAAATCCACAAGTTTTTAAAGGGGTTTGGGCTGGGGCAATGGGTATATGGCGTGACCTACTCTGGCCATGTAACATATCTTTGAAAAAAATTTTAAGCCTCACCTGAGGGCATGTTTTTTTTTGTTGTTAATTGGAGAGAGAGGGAAGAAGGGAATGAGAAGGAGAAAGAGAGGGAGAGAGAGAGAGAGAGAGAGAGAGAGAGAGAGAGAGAGAGAGAGAGAGAGAGAGAAACATTGATGTAAGCAAAAAACATAGATCAATTGCCTCCCATACATGTCCCGACCAGGAATTGAACCCACAACCTGGGTATGTGCCTTGACTGAGCATCAAACCCACCACCTTTCAGTTTACAGGAAGATGCTCCAACCAATTGAGCCACACCAGCTATGGCTTTTAAAGAAGTTTTTCAGTCTAATTGCATTTAATATCCATGAGGATTGCTGACTTTATCAAGGAAGCCTAAAGAGAATCTTTTTACTCAGCAGTGAGTACTGCCATCATGTGAGTAACTTCACTCACACTGAGATTTGAAGTTTGGATTTCATACACAGAGCATAAACCCATGATGTGTGCCTTATAAGAAAGGGGCCAAGCCTCTGTGCAGAACCCCTGGCCTGGGTTAGAGGGAAGAGGAGAAGGGGCTGGTATACCTCAGAACTGTCTTCTGGGTCCTGGCTAATGTAAGGCCAACTTTTCACTTCATATTTGCTCTTATTATTTGGGCCTGATGTCTTAGGCCAAAGTTGGAGGTAATCTTGTGTGGTCTCCAGGGAGTCTGACTCCAATTCAGAAGTGCTGGCAGGAAGAACATAATCATCTGTGCTATATGTTTGTGGTGGCACATCTTGTTTCTGCTGGTCCTCAGGAACAACACTGTAAGAGAGGATAGGATACATGTTGCAGTGACATGGATCTAGAAAAGATGGCCCAGGAAACATTGTTTTGCTCATCAGTAGGTGCATAAGGCATATTTGTTTTTGGTGGCTAAATAAGGATTCCCTTTTGCGTACTTTCACTTTGGCCTGAATAACACTCATTTGCCAAAGTAAAGCAAATATAAACATTAAGATAAATTATAGTCATTTTGCCAGGAGCCGGTCCATGCTTGCTGTTTCAAGGGACCTGGCATATATGGCATACTGTTCTTAATATGTTTGCTCACCTTCTTGGCACTATGTGTTTTAACCAAGGTCTCTGAGAAAGGTTGTTTCCCCAGGTAGGGATTTTCCCCTGAAGTTAGGGAGGGAATAAAACCTCTTAACTAAGTGCCAGGTGGGTAATTAATCACTTTAACTACGAACAATCATGCTTAAGCTACATAATCTTTACTCCCTGGAATGGAGATAAGAAACGCCCTAACCTTTGTATTAGAGATTGATAGGATTGAATCAACTGGTATAAATACAGATGTAATAAGACAGCAAGACACAGAACTTAGTATACGGAACCAAGAGAGACAGAACCTAGGCACAGAACCTACACAGAACGTTCTCTAGAGACAGAAGAACTTCGCTGGAGAGAACATGGCAAAAGTTCCCGGACAGAAACTGGCCTCAGAACCTAGAGACAGAACCTAGCGAGAGAACATGGCAAAAGATCCTGGACTGAACCTGACTACAGAAATTGGCAAGAGAACCTGACTAGAACCTGGTGACTGAACCTGGCTGGAGAACCTGGACAGAACCTGGCTGGAGAACCTAGCGAGGGAAAATGGCTACAGAACCTGGCTGGAGAACCTGGAGAACCTAGCAAGAGAACATGGACACAGACCCTGGCAGGAGATCCTAAGCAGAACCTCTCTGGAGATCCAGACCAGAACTTGGCTGGAGATCCTGGCTGGAGATCCTGGCTAGGCTGCTGATCAACTGAACACTGTCTTCGTGTCATTCCTTCTTCGCCGACTCCGTCCACACCTTTGGGGACCCCTGGACCTGCTGGGGCTGGACCCCGGCATCATTTGTCTCAAGTGGTTTCATTTATTACTTGGACAATCCTGGTTCTGCCACAATCATGATCTCTGTGGCTTTCTGCAAATCACTTCATCTATTCCAGTCAGTGACCTGCCCTTTGTCACTAAAGAAGGTAACAGCTGAGACAGGCTGCAAGACTAATGTCCTCACTACAAAGTCCAGTGCTCTCTCCATAGCCCTAAGCCTGAGGGTCTTACAATAAATATATTTATGAGTCCCATCTCAGACTCTAAATCTTCACTTTCAACAACGTCCTAAGGTTGATTCTGATGATCAGGCCACAGGGAAACACAGCACTAACCCACCACAATGATCCTAAAGGAGGGCTCAGAAGGAAATCCGGAGAGTTTTGGGAGGCCTGCTCAGAGAGTTGGCATTCATTCAAAAATTTTTATTGGGCATCAAGTATATACTGTGCAAACACCTTCATTGCTCAGCAGAACCTTCTCTTTTTGGCATTTGAGACCAAAGACTTTATCACTGAGCTGAAAATGTGTTCATGTTCTCATACTGTTTTCCAGCACTTAGTCCTGTGTTCTTGGCTCTTTAGGTAACCAATGGCAATCTAGCAACTATCACACCCACACCCGGGAGATCTCCTTCAACTAATCTACTGTGACCACCAGATCCCATTGAAATTGAAGAAGGAAACTGGGAGCCCAGGAGTTATTTAGCTGTGGGCACTCATGACTTCTCTTAGATACCCTGTGACATGAGACTGGGCTTGGGTATATGAAGCCAAGCAAATTCAATATTTGCATGCTAATGCCCTAGATGGGAGGCTTCCTTATCTAATCTTCCTGTGTCATAGAGACTCCTGTCCCATCAATGTATGTTTGGCTATGCAACATGCATGTAGAGGCAGGGGGGCCTGTGGCCACAGAGTAAGATGTATAGGAGATGCTTTTGATGGGGAAGACTTCTCTTGCCCTGTGGGCAAGTCACCAATGGTCTCAGGCATGGTGTCCAGCCATGAGCGGATTGCAGTAACCTTATTATCCCTTATCACCATCCCATGCACTTCTTACCTTTGACTTTTTTCCCCCTGGCTCTCAATGTTTTTATCTTGTTCCTTAGCTGCTAATTTGACAGGAGTATCAGTGGACTGGATCTGCATGAAAAAAAAGGAGTCATCATAGAGGGGCCCAGAAATGTTTGGCAAAAATATTTGCAGTATCTGGTTTTCTACAGTGATGTTACATTGATGGGGCTGGGGTTCCTGGAGCAGTTGTAGGTATTGTTCCTGCTTCTGCAGGTACTGCTACATTAAATGAAAAAAGATGAAAACATCTCAGTGTCTGGAAAAACCTCCCAGAAATCGATTGACCACTTTCCATTTTCCCAATGCAGCAGTAGTCCTGCCTCTCTGGGAACAGGGATTTGGGTGTCTGTCACCCTGTTTGGCAGGGCACTACCTACAGTCATGTTCATGGCTGCAAGAAGTTTGAATTTAGCAATTGCAGCCAACTGAGTAGTCATTACCCCTCAGCAGAACCACGTAAACATAAATTTTCATGAAAATGAAATCCCCTTTAAGCTATCCAGTGAAAACAGACTTTCCATACCTGGGTGGAGGTATGAAAATTCCCAGGCTCTTTAAACAATTCAGAGAATCTTATTGAACAAGGTAGACGTAAAGGACGAAAGCTTTGGGTCTCACTGGTATCTGCAAAGGACTTTTCCGTTTGCTCAGTGCGTTGTTTCTTGGGAACTGGATCCAAAGCCTGGGACTCAGAACTGCCAACATGACATGGCATGGTTGGCTGCATCTGTAATAACACAGTATCAATGTATTCAGGGTCCACACCTTTACTTAGGGCACAAGACATGCTGGGTAAGGAGCAAGACTACCCACAGGCAAACCCACAAAGAATCCTTGGCTGTATATGAGCCACATCTGCCACTCCTAGAGCCTGGCAAGACCCATCTAGGGTGCTACAGGCAAGATAAAAAGGGCAAAGCCTTAAGTCCCTGCTGAAGATTACTCCAGATGACATGTGCTGCCCTGGGGCAGCAGCTGTCACTCCTAGCAGACCCTATTGGCTAACTCCTTGAAGAATGTCCCCTTCTCTTGTCCCTTCTACCACTTACATAGAACTGGTCTCTGACCTGAGATTTGGAATCCCACAGTGTGTTAAGCTGCTCCTTCATCTGGTTCAGTTCATTTTTCTGCTTTCTGAGGTCAGCCTGCAGCATTTGAGTCTTCTCTTCCAGCTGCCTCTTAAAACGCATTATTAGTTCCTTCTCACGTTTGTTGATGTACTCTATAACTGGCGATGGTATTCTGCATGGCTGTGGGGAGAAATCAGTTATGGTTCATAAATAGGGATACTAGGTTCCACCAAATCCTACCATATTGTTTTATTTTTAAGTTTTGAAAGATTGAGAATGAGACCAATGGCACTCCAATACTGATTTCATTTATTACTAGGAAGTTTTAAAAAACTGGTTAACGAATCCAGGAATTCTAGATCAGAACTGGATCATTTCTTTTATATACACTGGGGCCTTGACTTATGAGCGTCCCCGACTAACGAGTTTTTTTAGATACGAGCCGTCTCTCCACCAATTTTTGCTTTGAGTTGAGAGCTAAAATTCGGGTTACGAGCCAGCTTCAGATACCCCACCACTAGTTGGCGCAGCAAACGTCACAGTGAACGCCACAACATCAGCCCAGCATCACGTGTCTCACTCGTTCACAATTGATTTGACATACGAGTAATTTGAGTTACGAGCTCCATCACGGAACGAATTAAACTCGTAAGTCAAGGCCCCACTGTGTATATACACACACACACACACACACACACACACACACATATTGAATTCAGAGAGAGGAAGGGAGAGGGAGAGGGAGAGGGAGAGAGATATAGAAACAACGATGAGAGAGAATCATTGCTCAGGTGCCTCCTGCATGTCCCCTACTGGGGATCGAGCCCACAACCCGGGCATGTGCCCTGACCGGGGATCGAACCTTGACCTCCTGGTTCATAGATCAGCACTCAACCACTATGTTACAAGGGCGGGACTCATGGGGATCATTTAGTCTCTTTTCCCCCTTAACTATAAAGCTATGGACTTGGCCCAGAGAAGTGAAGCAATATGCCCTGAGTCTTTAGGGGAAAGGTCAAAGTGTAGCAGGTCAGATCACAAGGGAAGCATGTGGGGAACATCCATTGGATGCCTCTTAGTAAGAAGAAGATGAATGCTCAACTGTAACTTCCTTTGCTGCAGGCATTCTTCTAAGCACTGTATAGAAATTCACAGATCTGAACTTCACAACCCCAAAGTAGGTACTTAATAGACACAGTACACAGTTTTAGTACTTGGAGGAATACTCTCCCCTTGGAATCTAACTTTAACTTGAGTAATAGCCTCAGATCTGAAAATGAACAAATGGACAGGTTTATAAAAGTAGAGAGGGTGCTGGGAGACAAAGCAATGCTTCAGGTTGACTGGAATAGAGGGTATGAGACAAGTCATATGTGTAATGGAAGTGGAAAAAGAGCTTTCTGCAGACCATATAAGTTTAGGAGGCTAAGGAACCTGAATTTTATTCATCAGCTACCTTGTGCTGCTGCCAGAAGCAGCAATTTAAAACACAGATCTGATTGAGGAAGTGATATGCTCAGACCTATGTTGTAGAACTTGCCTTCTGATAGCACTTCAGAAGGTGAACTGAGGGGGAAAGAGTAAGCTTGGAGTCAAAGAAACCAGTTAGAGGACTGTGGAGGTAATTCTAGGTGGATGTAAGAGGGGCCTGAAACAGACGAGAGGCTGGGAACATAGAAAAGAATGGACACATTTGAGAAAAATTAAGGAAGTGGACAGGGCTTCTCAACTTATTGGCTGAGGAGGGCAAAAAAAAAAAAAAGGTGAGATTCTTGAAAAAGAACTGTCAAAGCCATAAGTAGTACCTGGGAACAACTGTTGTTTGCCTTAATCTGTACTATACACACTGTGGGTATAAACAAGATAAGAGAATCACAGCCCCAATCGACAGTCCCAGTATTAATGATGAGAAAAAAAAAAACCCAAGATGGCAGCATAGGTAAATATGGTACCTGAATCCTCCTATAACAACATCAAAATTACAACTAAAGTAGAGAACAACAATCATTCAGAAACATCTGAAATCTATATGAACAGAAGTCCTACAACTAAAGATATAAAAAGAAGCCACATCAAGACTAGGAGGAAGGGCAGAAAGCTGATTTCTCAACAGAAACTGCAGGCCAGGAGAGATTATCATGAAATATTTAAAGTGTTGAAAAGCAAGGACCTACAACCAAGATTACTCTACCCAGCAAAGCTATGATCTAGAAGCAAAGGACATATAAAGAGCTCCCAGACCGCCCCCCTCAAAAAAAGCTGAAAGAATCCATCACTCCAAACCAGTATTATAAGAAATGTTAAAGGGTCTTCTTTAAAAAGAAGAACAAAAAGATAAAAATATGAATAATAAAAGGAAATAAAGATCAATCAATAGTTACTTTAAATGCAAATGGATTAAATGCTCTAATCCATGGGTCCTCAAACTACGGCCCAAAGGCCACATGCAAATACAAATATTGTATTTGTTCCCGTTTTGTTTTTTTACTTCAAAATAAGATATGTGCAGTGTGCATAGGAATTTGTTCATAGTTTTTTGTTTAAACTATAGTCCGGCCCTCCAACGGTCTGAGGGACAGTGAACTGGCCTCCTGTTTAAAAAGTTTGAGGACCCCTGCTCTAATCAAAAAACATATGAAGGCTAAATGGATAAGAAAATAAGACACATATGCTGTCTACAAAATACTCACTTCAGATCAAAAGATACATACAGACTGAAAGTAAAGGGGTGGGGAAAATATTTCATGAAAATAGAAACAAACAAATAAAAAGCAGGGGTGGCAATACTTATACCACATAAAATAGACTTTAAAACAAAAGCTATATAACAAGAGACAAAGACCCAACAGTTCTACTTCTAGGTGTTTATCTGGAGAAACTCAAAAACAATACATGGGAAAGATGTATACATCCATGTATTAATTGCAGCATTATTTATAATAGCCAAGACATGGAAGCAAACTAAGTGTCCATCAATAGATGAATGAATAAAGAAATGATGCATAGCCCAGCCAGTGTGTCTCAGTGATTGAGTGTCAACCCATGAACCATGAACCAGTTTGATTCCTGGTCAGGGAATATCCCCGGGTTGCAGTCTCAATCCCCGGTAGGAGGCATGCAGGAGACAGCAATCAATGTTTCTCTCTCATCATTGTTTCTATCTCTCTATCCCTCTCCCTTCCTCTTTCTAAAATCAATTTTTTTTAAAAAAAGTAGTGCATATATGCAATGAAATATGACTCAGTCATAAAAAAAATAATAAAACCTTGCCATCTGCAATAACAAGGATAGACCTGGAGGGTATTGTGCTGAGTGATATAATTCAGACAGAGGAAGAGAAATGTCATATGATTTTACTCATATGTGGACTCTAAAAAAAAAACCAAAATAAAGTAACAAGCAGAATAGAAACAGGCTCACTGATACCAAGAACACTTTGATGGTTTGCCAGTGGGGGCAGGTGAAAAAGGTGAACGAATTAAGAAGTACAGATTTTAGTGTTGGGGATGTAAAGTACAGCATAAGTAATATAGTCCATAATATTGTAATAACAATGTATGGTGTCAGATGGGTACTAGATTTATGAGAGTTATCACTTTTTAAGTCTAATCACAGGGTTGTACACCTGAAACTAACATAATACTGTATATCAACTTCAATTGAAAAATAAAAAATTAGCCCTGGCCAGGTAGCTCATTTGATTAGAGCATCATCCCCATATGCCAAGGTTATGGGTTCGATCCCTGAATGAGGAACATACAAGAATCAACCAATGAATGAATAAATAAGTGGAACAACAAATCAATGTTTCTTTCTTCCCCTTCTCTCTCTCTCAAATCAATAAATTTAAAAAATAAAAGAAAATAAAAATAAAAGATTACTTAAAGTAAAAAATGTACATATACATGCAATGGCTAGAGAACAAAGAAAGACAGTCTATTATGTCAGACTGTGATCCTTCTACCCCTTTTGGTTAATGGAAGCACATAGTTCCAAATTGCACACTTGGAATAAAAAAATAAATGTGTATTTTTAATTCAACGAAAATTGTCCAACTGCCCTCTTCCTTTATATAGTGTATGTGTGTGCATATATCTTTTTATAGGAAAGCAGGATTTCATTAGATCAAAAAATCATCTCAACTCAGAACTAAAATAAACCTTGCAGGTCATCAAATCTACCACCCTTCTCCAGGCAGGAATCTTTTCTCTGCTGTCCCTGGCAGATGAACTACCAAACCTTGGCTCAAAATTTTCCATGGAAAAAGAGGGGCTCCCCCCCTTGAAGAAGGAGGCTAACTCATCCCAGAAAGGTTTCCTTGAAGGGAGTGGAATACTGGCCTGCCCTGAGCTGTTCACTCTCTACCCTAATTTGATCCACTGGAGACACGTCTTCTACTTCAGTAGCATAATAACCTTGCAGTTATTTGGATCAAGCTGTTCTGTCTTCCTCCAGTCTCCCTTCCCCAGTGTCTTCCACTACTGACCCAATTACGCTTTCCTGGGCCTCTCCATCCTGGTCTCCATCTTCCAGATACATTCCAATCTGTCAATCCATGGCACTCAGAAATAAGCCTAATATACCATCACATACAGAGTCAGACTACATGCACTCACTGCTGGTTATTTTGATTAATGTAAATAAA